TATGAAAATAATATGATAAAATAATAATTTAATTTGACATATTGATATTGGGTAGAGAGCAAAACTTTAAAAATGTCAAAGTGTCACATAAATTGTCAAATTAAATTAATTTCCTCTTTTGGAGATGGTTTAGAGTGATCTTAATTTCCTCTTTTGGAGATGGTTTAGAGTGATCTTTTTTTTTTTATTATTATTTTTTTAAGTTGTATTACAAACAAAATCCCTACTTTAGTGAGTTAAAATGGCTATGACTCAATAATTAGCTAATAAGAATTATTTATTTATTTAAAATAATTTAAAATCAGTTAGCATTACATATGGAGAGCAAGAGCTCCTAGATGAATTCCTATTCTAGGAGGCGGATAGGGAGCATGATTGGAGTTGAATTTTTTTTTTTATTATTAATCCTCTCTAAATTATTTAGGAGGTCATTTAGGTTTTTCGGACTCATATTTCAATTGCATTGTCATTGTATACAATTATTTGCATGTGGTCAAATATTTTAATGGATAGGGTGTTGGATTTGTACCCATGCATCCCAGGTTTGAATCCCATGAATTATTGTAATAGTTTCGAACTCATAGTAGTAAATTTAAAAAAAAAAACAAATTGTATACAATTATGAGTATGCATATTAAATTTGATTTGATTTTTTTTTTACCAAACGATATTATCTACACTAAGAAAGTGGTGGAGTGGATAAGTCTCATAATGATCTAGCAATTATGTGGTTAAAATTTGCCTTTGGCAATAATCAAACTTAAGATCTTACACTTACAAATAAATAAGAATACTACTAGACCGTAGTACTAAGTGGCTTTTTAAATTTGATATTGAATTTCATGAATTATTTCTTAAATTTTATATGTTTATGTTACGGATAAATAATAAGGTTGATATCTAATTTCAGTATTAATCTAACGCTTATTTTTAAATGTGTATATGCGAAGAATACATTTCATCTGAGAAGAATACACCTTTTGATATTGAAGATTAATTTCAGTATTAATCTAACGCTTATTTTTAGAAGGTGTAGCTAAAAATAACTTTAATCTAATTGGGATTTCATCTGAGAAGAATACACCTTTTGAAGCTGTCATTTTATGCTGAAAATTTTTAGCATGATTCCATATACCAAATTATTATAAAAATGGGCTGTGAGGGTTGTGTTTCTATAAGGAACAACAAGTGGATTGTGTTATCTTAAATTCTAGGACACGTGGGTGGCGATGAAATCATGCTCAAGATTTAAAATTTGGAAAGTAAAATAGTTTGTGTTTCCGGTCTCCCAGTCTCCGATACAAAGACTGGAACTTCCTTAAATGTGCTTTGTCACAAATATTCCACAAGTCCACTACCCAGTAGTATAAAACAACCCCCACCCCCTACACCACTCAACCCCTCCTCACCGCCACCGACACCTCAACTCTCATTCTCATTCTCTCCTTCTGCTCCCAGCTGCCTCTTTTGACAACCACTATGGCGGAGTATGAGAATCAAAACCCTCCTCCACATCTAAACGAGACTCTGACCATCCTCTTGGCCTTAGCTGCCATTCTATTCGCCCTCGGGGTGAATCCAAGCTATTTTGTCAAACCTCCCTCTGCCGATGCAGTTTGCGATTGCAAACCGAATAACTGTCCATGCCTTCCTCCTTTCTACATTTTCTCTGTCGTTGCCACAGCAGCACTGTCAGTTGTTTGGTTCGGACTTTTTGTCCTCTCCGCCCGACTTCAATACCGCTTCGTTATCTGGGTAGGGCTTGGCTTAGTGTGGGCTACCTACTGGCTCGCGTTGCGCAGCATCCTTTCACCCCAATTTTATAATCCAATGATTTACTCCTTCAATCCTATTCTGGCGGTTTTATTGTTGTTTAATCTAAGATTTCGAAATGTCTGGGACCGCGTGATCCATGTCATAACCGACAACTGCGTATTTTGGAACTACATCACGGGAAACTATTAATATTTAGGTATTTGTCTTTTCCAATTTTTTTCTTTCTTTCTTCTTCTTTTATATATATATATATATATATATATATATATATATTTGGAAATTACCATTTCTTAATTTATGTTTGTCATATTTGCACAGGTAACATTTTAATCTTTTTTGAAATAAAACATAATTCTAAGATTTATGCTTTCTTCTTATAATTATTTTATAGAAAAATCATTCTAATTAATTCATGTTTATCTTTTTTTTAGAGTAAATTTTCTGGCCTCGAAGTCAAAACTATTAATACACATATTATACAGGTATACGTATTTTTTAAAATACTCTCAAATAATACATGCACATAAAACATGTTCCGTATTTGACTAACTACGATATGCGTATATATAATATATAAAAGTAGTTGATGCTCAAATACAAAATACATTGAAAAAATAAAATTGCTACAATTGGCAACATAAAAGCTAGATAAATTATAGCTGAACCTAGTCGCCAGATGTAGAGCTGGTTTGGGGTTGTTGAAATTTTATAAAAGCAACTTCTTAAATAAAGTTGGAGCTAAAATTGTATTTGGTAAAAAAAAAAAAAAAAGGTTATTTTTCCAAAACATGGGTCTAAACAGCAGCAAACATAAGCAATTCTAACTATGCTTCTCAAAAAAAGATTTTTTTTTTCATAAAATGCAGGTGAACAGTATCATTTAATGAAACTTTATATTGACAATACTACTCCCTTCTTCTTCTTCTTTTTTTTTTTTTTTTTTTTCACAGCTTGTTTTCCCACAGCACAACATAAGTAGTTTTGAAAAAAAAAAAAAAATCTTCAGGCTAGTTTGGTATTGCTGCGCTTTAAAAAAAATGCTTTTACTGTGCTGTGAGAATAAATAGCTGTAAAATAAAGTTGTTAAGTGTTTGGTAAACTTTTTTTTTTTTTATTTTTATATAAAAGTGCTTTTAACAAAAAAACATTGTCCAAGTGTTGGGTAAACTTTTATATAAATTGTTGTGGATATGTTAAATGACTTAAAAAGATATAGTGTTGAATGTGAATAATAATTGTCAAAGAAAATAATGTAGAGGCAAAAATTGTAATTTTGTAAAATATGTGAGGGTATACTTGTCATTTAAAAATTTCATTAAATGTGCACTGATTTCTATGCTTTGAAAAAATAAACAATTTTTTTTTCAGAAGCATGGTAAATCCTGCTTCTATTTTTCTATGATTTTCTATTGTTATTGACAATCGTCTTTTTTTTTTTTTTTTTTTTTGTAGTTTGTTTTACTAAACACATTTGATGTTCTAAATTTTTTTTTAATAAACTGCTTTTTTACAAAACACCACAATTAAAAACTCATCTTTGTGTGAGACTGAAATCCACATAGAAAAAAGTACCGAAAAAAAAAAAAAAACCACCTCAAATAATACAAACTACTATAAAGTAATGAGTTAAGGTCATCAACCCAAATACGACACAAGATCATTGTATTTGTACTACATTGAATATAACTACCTCAAATAATACAAACTAAAAAAAATGCTCACTTTTTTTTTGGAGTGATTGATGCTTTTCGAAATAATACAAATGGTTGTTGTTGTTTTTTTATTTTTTTGTCAATAACATAAAGGATTGTTCCAATGAAAAAATATAAATGTTTGTCACGTTACTTCTTTCTTTTATTTTTTGCATGAGTATCTTACTAATTTTTAAATTATTTTCTCTTTCAATGTTATTTTCAGGTCAGTAGTAAGATGGAGGAGAGAGCTATTAATTATCAGCAAAATGCCCGATCCATTCATCTTATGTTGAATGTATTAGAACAATCGTTGTCTTTTCCTGCTAGCTAGGTTTTTATATTTGGATCTCTCCATGTAAGACACTTGTTATATTTATTTGGTGAAGTGTGTAATTTTAATGTTTTGGATCTCTATATATGAGTTGTATATTTATTTGGTCAAGTGTGTGTGTAATTTTGGTTTTAATATGGAGTGTGCTATCCACACACCTCTTTTTACTTCTTATATACTCCTTGTCAATTTATGTCCGTTGATTTTCTTTAATTTATCCAATCTGACAGCCAAAAATTAGAAAGGTGTATAAGAAGTAAAAAAAGGTGTGTGAAGAATATCACACCCCTTTAATATTTGTGTAAGTGTAATGTTGATTGAATATTTGTGTTAGAGAAGTGTTATTAGCTCTCCAAAAATCTCATTCTACACTCCTCACAAATGTATTTTTCTTTCTAAATGTAGAAAGTTTGGAGTGTAGAATGAGAAGTTTGGAGTGCCAATAACAATTCCCTTTGTGTTACTGTAGATCATCCCCCACCATTTTTGGTTTTTTTCGATGCGGAGATCCTCTACCGCATTTTGTTTTGTGTGCTTCTTTACGTGCCTCCCACCAAGAACAAGGCTTCTTGCAAGCTCGTACAATAGCACATTCTCTGCATCATTTTTAATCCCACTTTTCCTAGCAAGCGAGAGCTCTCGTGTCTTGCATTAGTATTGTCGCATCTAGATCCTAAAGAAATCAAAAGCTCGCACAGCGTAGCGTGACCTCCTGTTGCTGCTACCATCAAGAGCACATGACATCGGAACTCTTGTTTATCAATGTATAGACTAAATCAACTTTGCCGTGTTGTGCTGCCTGATGTGGCGTACCATAACTCAACAGGACTATCACTTTTGTGGTGCAGCATTCTTAAGTAATAACTTTTCAAATTCTTTGCCATTTTGATTTGTTCAAACAGTTCCATTACGGTCTGACCATGTTTATGAGCAGGTTCATATCAGCCCCAGCGTCGGTAAGCAATTTGAAAGTTTCCAGGTAACCACCCTCTGCAGCTATCATGGCAGCTGAGTGATCCCCTTTTCATCTTGCTCATTGAGATCAAGGTCTGCTCCCTCAATCAGTTTCTTCAAAGCATCAACTTAGTTTGCTTGGGTCACAAGTATTCGAGGAGAAAATATTGAAGTATCTTTTGATTGAACAATTTCACCAGATCGAATCACATCAACAACTGCTTGTCGGAAGTTAAGAGTCCACCTTACTCACTCTGCAATAAGCTTGCACTATGACCAGTAGCATTCACCAGGCCAAAATCAGCACCGTCTGAAGCCAGGATTTTAAGGCATTCCTGGTGTTTATATCTAGCACAGATCATTAGTGTAGTTTCTCCAGATTCTGTCGAAGAGTTGATATTGCACCCGGCACTAATAAATGGCATCACTGTCATGGAGAAAAAGTTATATGTTTCAAGCAATTAAAACACAGAGATTTTGATTATGGGAACCTTGATTGTACTTCACACTTATTTTTGTTGTCGACAGAGTTCAAGGATCATGTTTTAGGCAATGTAGACTCGGATAAAAGCATAACAACTTAAAAATCCTTATGAGCAGATGTTACATAAGCATTCTCAGACGAGCTCTAATTGACACGTAAACCCATATGGAAATTTTGATTAGTCTATGATTAAAAGTTACCTTGATGAGTTGACAGTGTCAACTACATCAACAAAGCCTATGCAGGAAGCGGAAACAAGAGCATGCACAACAGCCTGAGGGCAGATCATGTCGGATCCCATGAGCATCTCGGCAGACCTAGCCCTGCCCAAGTAGCTTGCCTCCAACAAGGCCTCCTCAGATGCCTGCTGGGACGCGCCCCCATTGATGAGCACGTCCAATATCTCCAAGTGTCCCTCCCTTACTGCTGCTGTTGTTGCATAGCCTCGAAACAGCTTTTGATTCACATTTGCTCCATAACTCTGTCACAGGAAAAGTGAACAAAACTAAAATTAGAGACATTCAAAGTGCTTCCCTCTAAATTTAAGCAAAAAAAGGGACGTTTTGATATAAGTGCTTGAGTTTTCACTATAGACTAAACATTGTTGGTTTTAGAGATTTAATTGAACATTTTTCCTACAAAATTGGAGTCTCATCTATCATAACTATCCTTTATTTGTACCAAAATTACAGATCTTACCATTGCCTAAATTCTTCACGTCATGAAAAAAATGCAAAGATATTGAACAAATTTCCTACAATCTAGCTCCTTTGATTCCCTCTAAAGATAATTATACAAAAAAAAAAAAAAGAAAAAAAAAAGATTATCTACAATTTATAAAGGATTAAAATACCTTGCTGTTTGATTTTTTTTCCCTTTCAATGAAGAAATAAAATACCATTTAAGATATTTGTAGTAATCCATATATAAATTTTTGTAGTAATTCATATAAGAAAATAACATCGAGAATAATACAAACATACCAATAAAAAATATATGTATGAAAACAAACCTACTAAAACCGGAAATAAACGTACTAGTAAACAAAGTTGAAGAACAAGAGTAAATGTACCAATCAACGATATGTATAATATTAATCATACCCATATGATACTAAATGGTACAATCCATAATGTATACAAAAACAATTGTAACAAAATCGTGAAAAAAACCTATCAATCAATGAGAACAAAACTAAACGTACAGGAAGCTAAAACTAAATGTATTGAAAGCTAAAACAAAACATACCAAAAGCTAAAACTAAACGTACCAATCAACGATATGTACACCCAAAAATTAAAAATAAACGTACCAATCAATACAAAACCAATATATGATAACCAACAATAAACGTACTATTGTCACTAATCAACAATATGTACAAATTCAAATGTATACAAAATAATTATCTAACAAAAAGTATCCTAAATAATAAACAAACAAAAAAAATCTAAGCGTCCATCATTTCATTTATTTTTTTTCAATTTTAGGATAAAAAAATGTTTTGAACGAAAACAAAAATTAAAAGAGATAATTGATAAATATGTTGAGCGAAGAAAACCTGTGACATCCCACCTCGCCCAGGGAAGTGATCCTTATATGTATATTCCCATCCCTACCTAGCACGAGGCCTTTTGGGAGCTCACTGGCTTCGGGTTCCGTAGGAACTCCGAAGTTAAGCGAGAAGGGGGCTAGAGCAATCCCAGGATGGGTGACCCATCGGGAAGTTCTCGTGTGAGTTCCCAGAAGCAAAACCATGAGGGCGTGGTCAGGGCCCAAAGCGGACAATATCGTGCTACGATGGTGGAGCGGGCCCGGGAAGTGATCCGCCTCGGCCCGGGATGTGACAATTTGGTATCAGAGCCTAACCCTGGCCGTGGTGTGCCGACGAGGACGTCGAACCCCTAAGGGGGGGTGGATTGTGACATCCCACATCGCCCAGGGAAGTGATCCTTATATGTATATTCTCATCCCTACCTAGCACGAGGCCTTTTGGGAGCTCACTGGCTTCGGGTTCCGTAGGAACTCCGAAGTTAAGCGAGAAGGGGGCTAGAGCAATCCCAGGATGGGTGACCCATCGGGAAGTTCTCGTGTGAGTTCCCAGAAGCAAAACCGTGAGGGCGTGGTCGGGGCCCAAAGCGGACAATATCGTGCTACGGTGGTGGAGCGGGCCCGGGAAGTGGTCCCCCCCCCGGGCCGGGATGTGACAAAACCAAAATTATTTCCTAAAAAAGAGTCCACAACTCCTAAAATACATGAATAAAAAAATGGCCGGATAAAAAAAATCTCTCAACTAATTAAAAGGACAAATTTAGAAATGATCAATATGTAAAATTTTATTTAAAAAATACAATTATTTTTTTTAATTTAAAAAATAAGAAATACTAATGTGGCCTAATGTACTAAACCGCCTTGATCAAAATTCTAAAAGACATTAATGTTTAATAAAAAAAATTCAAATTTGAAACGTTCAAATCTAATTAACTCATACGATAATAATATTAATAATTAATAACAATCTGGACTATCAGCATTTAGTTTCAATAAGAATCTTGATGCAATTTCACATCCATTTTCTTTCATTTCCCGAGAAACAAACACAATTATCATAAAAACGAGAGTTCAGGTTCTTTTAAGGAAATTATTAGGAAACTTGGCAAAATAATCAAAATTTAGATTCCATATAGAATTATAATCATCCTTTTAAATTTATAATAATTATAATCAAAAGTTGATGTGAAATATCCTTAATACAACTATTCTTCATAGTAGCCAGTGTGGTGCTTCAAATAACATACCCGAATCACTAATTATACACATCTGTTTCACCAATCACCGCTAAACATACAGATTCCAAATGTAATTTACCTCAACTGTCCTTCAAAGTTGCCAGTGTGGTGCTTCAAAGTTTCAATCCAGACATGAATTTTATTGAGCGTATAACGCGCAGCATAGACAGCAGCAGCAGATACCATGGATGGGGGAGTACACAATGATATGCAGGATTCCGAGCTCAGCTAGAAAGAAAACCATGCTCTTCATTTGCATTAGATTAATAAGAATATTTTAAGCATTCAGAAATTTCACCTCTCTCTATGAGATTTTGAGAGAATTGATTCAAAATTTTATATGGATCTCTACGAATTAATTAAACTTCATAAAAATTTATGGTTTTATAAATCTATTAAAATTTCTCAAATTTCCAATTGCATATACCCCTTAATCTCTCTATAATTCTTCAGTCAAATAAACATACAACACCCTTTAATTTAGGGTGTTTTAGATTTTGGCCCTTACAATTCATTATTTCTAGATAAAAACCCATCTATATTTAAAGATCCAGTTTAAGCCCTAATTTAAAATTTGCAAACATATAGGAGCAATATTGACCTATTAATGCAATTTATTTACACTCATGCCACTCATACTTTATGGTCCCTTTTTCAAATTCCTAAATTTATGCCAAATTAAAAGTAGTAGAAAAAGTGAAATAAAATGAAAAAAGTGTTTGCATTAACCGTATCTATGTTAAACTAGAAAAGTAGTCTTTTTTTTTTTCCGTGATATATTTTGTAGCAATTTTATCCATATTAATTGGTAGGTAAATTAGTTTGTTCCAATTATTTAAAAAAAAAAATTACTACACCTATATTATATATTTTGAATCAAATAACATTCCTCTAACTTGTAGGTAAATTATTTTCTATGTATTGTTATATATGTTAGACACGTTTTGTTGTTGTATAAACATGAGTGAAACATAATATTGTTGATTTTATACATCAAACTGCATTTCTTTGTTATAGGTAAATTATTTTCCATGTACAAGTACTTATGTTAGGCAAGTTTAGTTGTTGGTACCTACACCCATGGTATAATTGGTGTAGGTAAATTATTGGAAATTAATTTGTAGTTAGGTAATGAACATTTTGCATCATTGGAAATGAACATTTCAAAGAGTAGGTAGGTAAATTAATTTGTTCTAATTATATAAAAAAATTACACGACACCTAGTTATATTTAATTTTTCCAATTATTAAAAAAATTTATGCTACACCCAACCAAATAACATTTCTCTAACTTGTAGGTAAATTATTTTCCATGTATTGTTAGATATGTTAGGCAAGTTTTATTGTTTTATAAACATGGGTGTAACATAGTATTTTTAATACTATGCATCGAACTACATTCCTTCTTAATATAGGTAAATTATTTTCCATGTAATTAGTACATATGTTAGGCACGTTTTGTTGTTGGTATATTATTTTGCATCATTGTAAAAATGAGATATTATATTACACCCATGGTATAATTGTTGTAGGTAAATTAATGTGCATGTAGATAATGAAATACAATGTTCTAATATATTAATAAAAATGGATAAATTCAAAAGTATTCAAGAGTAGGGTGAAAAAACTAAATCGAATAGTTTTATGAAAATTCAAAACCTTTCTAAAAAATTAATATGCAATAAATTTTTAACATTAATGTCTTTTCTTTCTTGTTGCAAAATCATTTACTATTTCCTTACAATTAATTGTCTACATCAAGTATGTAATAGGGGTATTTTAGGAAAGTAAATTTAATGGTGAATTCCTATTTGATTTGTCCTGTGGATCCTACATTTTTCTCTTTCAGTTTTAGGTTTTCTAAACAGTTACTATTATTTTCCTTTATTTATCAACCTATTTGATTTGTCTTCCCTACATTTTCTCTTTTCATTTTTAGTTGTCTAAACATGTTACTCTTACCACATATTGTATCATTTTTCTAAATAGAGATATGTTTCACATGCGTTGATAAATCATACTTTTATTTAAATGATGGTACAAATAAATGATAAGTGTAACATTAGACTTAATTATCATTTGGCTGATGTCACGTGTGTGCCCTTTTTGCCGCTTTGCATCCATCATCGAACGGTTCAATTATGTACATAAATGTTTTATTTACAAGTGAAAGATATACGACAAGACTCATCGTTGACATTAATATGTGAAGATTCCATACAGTAACACAAAGAGGTTGGTGATTTTGATTTTGTTAGACTGACAGGGTCGGTGCAAAGATTTTTACGTTATTTTTGTACTATTTAACCTCCTAATGTTTGAAAAGTGACCAGCGCTCTGAGTCTGTCCTAACTCTCCTTTTTTCTCGTCGACCAATAAAATATTAGGATCATGCAAGATGCAACTAATTTCCTGTAAAACAGAAAGGAATACTCTTCAAATATTTTTCACCAAATTCATCAATTTTGATTTTTAAAATTTGATTTAAAGACTAAAATAAGAATTATTTTAAAAGTTATAATAACTTTAACCCTTGTATCAAATTTCAAAATTCTAAATTGATATATTTAGTGAATTTGATAGAAGACATCCAACTTCTAAATTGTGTAAGACATACACGATTAAGTTACGTCAACATTTAGTTTCAATAATCAATAACAATCTGGACTATCAGCATTTATTTAAATCATCC